TGTGAGCCAGATGGGTTTTTAAACAAGGATCCTTGAGGTGGCACCATTGCCAAAGACTAGCTTTCAATTCCACATTTAAAATTCCATCAGCTGCAGAGTGTTGGGATTTGATCCTGTAAGGCCTCAGGATTACTAGTCCAGTGACATTACCACGATGCTACTATCTCTCATGCTGCAATTACCAGGAATGAGAAAGCGAGCTAGATGACTTGATTTTGTTTCTTATCTCTTAATTTTTTTCCTGATAGTGAGGGGGGCGGGGTGGGAAATGTGCTGAGGTCCAGAACCAGGGAGGGTCACAGTCTAAGGATCTGGGGTAGGGCATTTAGGATGGAGAGAGGAGATTTTTCACGAACAGAGTGGAGAGTCTATGGAGCTCTCTGCTACAGGGAAGTGGCAGAGGCCAAACCACTGAATGTTTTGCAGGAGTTAATATAGTTCATGGGGGTAAAGGGATCAGAAGTATGGGGAAAACAGGGGAGTGAGCTGGATGGTCAACCATGCTCATGGTTGAATGACAGTAAGCGCGAAGGGCTGAATGGCCTACTCCTGCTCCTATTTTCTCTGTGTGTTTGAACTCTCACGTTAACAGCCAATCGTCCTCCTCCAAAAGGGTCAATACTAAATTTCCCATTGGTCTGACATCAGAGCTCCCGAGTCAGGCCCTCATATCAAATGTTTCTCACGGGAGGTGTTAGAAGCTGCGATGATCCTTTTGCGTAGTATTCTGCTGCAGTTTACCAGCCTGGGACCAGCTGAATGTCCTCCTACTTCCTTCACACCCAACATAAAGTGACGAGATTAATGATTACTCATTGAGAAAACGCAGTCATCCAACAGTGTGCCTGGAGCTTTACAAGAGCTCTTCTCGTAGGAGACACTGAAATCTGATCAGCACTTGCGTTTTTTTTAAAATCCATCTGGGAATGTCAAAAGGAGCTTTTCTATTTGAATTTATTTGTAGCACATGGGCATCACTGGCTGGGTCAGCATTTACTGCCCTTGGCAAGTGGTCCCCTTCAGAAGGTAGCGGTGAGCTGCCTTCCTGAACTGCTGATATCCCCACGGTCACTGAGCAATAACCAGTTCACAGAACACACCAACAGTGCCCAACATGGAAAAACTGAGATTGCCAAGGCTTCTCAAAGTCAAAACAACTGGGACTGGGGACCTGAAACATACAGCTTCTTTTTAAAGTGAGAAACATTGAGATATCATTTGCTATTTCATTCTTATTTGTTGAGAGGTCCAAAGGGAAACTGCTGACGTCGGAAAATAATTTGATGATTGTGTGTAAAAGTGCTCAAAATGCCCCTTGCTACTCTCAATCTTCTCAGTCAGACTTTCCCCACCGATAGATCAGCCTCCAGAGCCAAATCCATCATCAAACCCCTCAAAACCAGAGGCTGGTGCTAGGTCACACTAAAATATTGACCCTACTTTGCTCAGAAACCACGAACGCTAAACAAAAGCCACTGACTCTCCATCGATTCTCATCCTCACCTTCACTTGTCCAAAGCCAATGGTCACAGCAGCAGAGGAGGTGAATCCCTTTATAACTGGATAGGAAATAAAATCAACCAGGAAGCCTAGGATAAAACAGGAATGAGATTATTTACCAGAATGGAATCAACGCCGTGTTAGAGTGAGCACAAACGAGAGCGTGAGCACGAACGAATCAAATGAAGAATTTAACGAGAGGGAGTCATGAGGGAGCAAAAGTAAAATAAACTGCAATCCCGATAGGTCAGAGGAGACGGGTGAAGTGTCAACTTGACGATCACTCTCCAGACTTGCCCAAGTGGACACTATGAACTGGGACGTTAGTAAAACGACACCACATTCCCACCTAGCCCCAAGCTGTGATCTTATCAAATAGTGGAGCAGGCTTAAACATAAGCACTGCTGCGTTTGGGAAACATGTCAGCTAGTTAGTACACAGCAAGATCCCAACAACAGGAATGTTAACTTCTTAAAAAAAGATTTAACCTATTTTTCTGTTCAGAGATGTTATTACACACCTCTGGAGGAGTTGGGACTTGAAGCCGGACCTCCCAGTTCAGGGGTTGGGACACTACCTCTGCACCTCAACAGGGCCCTCAACAATATGTGAATCATGTTTCTTTTCTTGGATATTTTCTGATCAAGCCAGACAGAGATGTTATGACATAATTAACAAACCAGACAATACATTCTAGAGATGACAGGTAAGGGATAACACTTGGAAACCAGGGAGAATGTTTCTTTGCAATAGTGCGATGGATGCTCTGATGTCCACCTGAGGGGACAAATAGCGCACAATTTATCGTATCCTTACACTGTGCAGCATTGCACAGGGATGTGTTGAACCAGACCTCACATTTCTGGGGGTAGATGGTTATTGGTTGGGTGGGGAAGGGGCCAGGGAGGATGCACAGCTGAACCAATGGTAAACACCAGAGTTCACCTGCTAATTCCAATAGAAATAAAAAAAAACTCTCCTCCCTCCAGTCTTCCTGATATCTAATATCACAGTGTGCCACTCCAAAGGAGAGTGGGGTGTGGGGGTACAATGGACTGTGCTCATTGGAGTCTGTGCACATGAAGAGAGCGACTCACCAAGTTGCAGGATTCCCATTGCCAGTTGAAAGCAGCCACAGAGGAAAGCCAGCAACACGGCATAAACTGGATCGTGATTGGCGTATGAAGCAACCAGAAGGGACATGATCGCTGTCGGACCCAGCGTGATATCTTTCGAGGTACCCAGGAGGCAGTAGACGAAGCAGCCCATAAACGATGAGTAGAGCCCATACTGAGGCAGAGAGACAGAGAGACATCAAAACCGTCAAAATTTCTACAACACTGTTGTCTGGCTGCTAGAAGAAAGGGAACAGAAAAGAACAACATTTTGTCTCAGGAACATAGGCAGGCCATTTGGCTGCTTGGCTCTGTGTACCATTTAAAGAGATCACCGGTTGTTCTGTCGTTTCACCCTATTCTTTTCCTAACAACAACGTATTAATAGACTTTGAACAGATAAAAGAAGTGGCCTGAACTTTAAAAACAGCGTTCCAAAAATATTTTCCCTCCTTCCCAGTCAACTCGCCCCTCCACCTCATGCCAACTAAACCAACGCCTGCATGAATGAATATTCAAGTCAGGCCTAAGGACTGACCCCAAAAACACAAACATAATCCCTTCCATTCTGTCAGATACGACAAGGCTGACGAACAAGGTGAGGGCTTTGTATGTGGGGTCTGTTCCTCGCACTCAGGCATGGCTCAGGAGGAACATCAGACAGAAAAAAAGCCAGTCTCCCAGGCTCCTGCTAGAGACTGGAAGAAGTGGGGAACGGTCGATATTACGACAACACCAATCTCACCTTTCTCACTCTAAGAGGATAATATTTCATACTCCTCACATTAAAACCATCCTGCATTTCTCAAGGATCAAAGCCCAAGAGTCTCAGAACTAAAAGTTTTACCTTGGAAATGTTAAAATGATTTGATTTTATTTAACAAAATAAACAAATGGTGAACGAAAAGGAATACTAATAAAATAAATGAAAAACAGTACACAACTAATGAATTCTGTGTGTTAATGGTTTTTATTTCATTTCATTGCGATACTCTTCTTTGGAGTCCACTTGGGCCCAAAACAACCCAACACCATCCTGAAAACATTGGCCATGTGAAAAGTGACCCCATGACCTTTGACCTCCACAAGTATTACGTTATTTGTAAAACATCAAGGACGGAGGGGAAGTTGTATGTTTTAGTCTCCAGGAGAGTGGTCAGTTTTCTTTAAAAAAAAAAAAATGCTGTTTTACATTTTCAATAATTGCAGAAGCCATTCAGCATTGTGTTTCCATTCAAGGCTCAATAGCTACAGCACAAAGAAGCCATTCAGCCCTTTTGCTATTAAAGAGAAAATGGGCCATTCTCCTCACTTTGTGGCCCTGCACATTCTTCTGTTTCCGATAACAATCCAATTCCTTTCTCTATGCCTCCCTCCGCAACACGCCGAGGGAGGGAGTGCATTCCAGATCCTGGCCATAAGATATAGGAGCAGATTAAGGCCATTCCGCCCCAAGAGAAACTGCTCCACCATTTGATCATGGCTGACTAACATTTTTCTCAATCCCATTCCCCTGCCTCCTCCCTGTTCCCTTTGAACCCCTCACTTATCAAGGACCTACCTAGATCTGAACAGAAGTTGCTGGAAAAGCTCAGCAGGTCTGGTAGCATCTGTGGACAGAAATCAGAGTTAATGTTTATGGGTCAAGTGACCCTTCCTCAGAATCTGCTGAGCTTTTCCAGCAATTTCTGTTTTTGTTTCTGATTTACAGCATCTGCAGTTTTTGTTTAACTATCTAGACCTGTTATTGCGGGAGTTTCCTCTCATGTTACCCCAACTTATTTTGCCAATTCCCTTGGATCTGTGCTCTCAGATTCTCAACATCCTCAGCAGTGCGTACAGTCTCTCCCCATCGACACTGTCCAGACCCGTCAGGATTTTGACCACCTTTATCAAAATCTCCTTTCTGCCTTCTCCTCTCCAAATCAGTGGATCGGAAGTTTGTCACTGGGGAACCGATAAAGGTTGAAACATTTCCCTCCCACACACCAACCTGGGCCCTTTACCAGAGAAGCGTGCTGCTTACCTGAACAGGGAGGCCGGCAATCTCAGCATAGGCTAGGCCCTGAGGCACCACGGTCAGCCCCACGGTCATCCCTGCCAGTAAATCCATCCGCAGCCACTGAACGCTGTACTGGGGCAGCCAAACCAGGATGGGGAGCCTCTTCTTCAAGGTGCGATAGGTGCAGCATTTCCTAACCACAGAGCCCATGGCTCGTCTTCCGATCACCTCGAGGTGAGGAGGGCTCGGGCCTTTGCTCACACTGCCTGGCGTCTCAGCTACGACCTGTTCTTCCTGAAGAGGTTCGCCACTAACCCACCCCCTTCCCCAATCCAAATGGAGGTGACATGGGCTGTTTTCAGATCCTCAGGGTGACTCAGTCACCTCCAAGGCTGTCCATCTCGGTCCCCATCTCCTCCGGTTGTCCAAAGGCACCTGAAAAATGGTGAAACAGAACGTTTTCCCTTTTTAAAAAAAAAAATCAGAAATCACTCGAATAAAAAACACAGCACAGGAAACTCTGATATTGGACAGGTTGGAAGATTAAAACACTCTGACCTTGACAAGTAAAAACCTAAAGAACTGTGGATGCCATAAACCAGAAACAAAAACAGAAGTTGCTGGAAAAGCTCAGCAGGTCTGGCAGCCTCTGTGAAGACAGATCAGAGTTAACGGCTCAGGTCTGGTAGTCCCACAATAGGGGAACAATCGAGAATTGTGACAACTTCACCGAAAAAGGAGCAGCGCTCCAAAAGCTAGTGATTTCAAATAAAGAAATAACACAGTGTGGAGCTGGAGGAACACAGCAGGTCAGGCAGCATCAAAGGAGCAGGAAAGGTGATGTTTCGGGTCAGGACGCTTCTTCAGAAATGGACTTCTTCAGACCCTTCTTTCTGAAGGAGGGTCCCAACCCGAAATGTTAGCTTTCCGACTCCTCTGATGCTGCCTGGCCTGCTGCGTTCCTCCAGCTCCGCACTGTGTTATCTCAGACTCCAGCATCGGCAGTTCTTACTATCTTTGATTTCAAATAAACCTGTTGGACTATAACCTGGTGTCGTGTGACTTCTGACTGAGTTCACTCAGAGAATCAGGGAGAGTCTTCCTTAGATCAGGACTTGACCCAACACTGAAAACAGGGAAGATAGGACAGGATTAACTGAAATGCTCCACAATACCCTACCCCCTCAAATAAAAAGAGCTGCTGCAGCACTTATGGGCCGATTGGCCTTCTTTGGAGGTGGTGGAGGGTGGACAGAAGCTCAAGATGCTATCCTCCAAACAGGATGTAGACTCAATCGTGCGCCACTCTTGCAGGGAAGATTACAACAGTCTGAGGTTACAGTATAGATCCGACAAGTGACCACAAATTCACCGATAGATCTCAAGAAGGGAAGTGATAAAGGGACAGAACATCATGGCACGTTCACATCAACATGAGTTACACCATAAAGCCAAAATTAATAAGACACAAGAGATAAGGAGAGAAATAAAGCCTGCTTCAGCTAGTAAGACTGAGAGTATCAATTAAAACTCTTGGCACGCTGAGGTGGTCTAGAAATCAAACAAGTTCTTTGTGGAGTTTCCAAACAGAGAAGCTACTATCATCACTGCACAAATAATCAGTGAGACGACCCCCTGTCCGTTCTCCCCACTCACTTGTTCACGTCCCTGAGGTTCTGGATTGCTTCTAGGAATCTCGGTCACATGACCGCCTCTCATGTGATCAGACAAGCAATGTATCTTTCACTTCCGGGAAATTGGCTATTTTCAGAGAGTGGGGAGGGGGGACGGCGCTCTGTCTAATTGCGTTGATTTGATTTTGGTTTTTATTGAGTTAGCAGTTCAGTCACGGTTTGGTGACAGTGAAGAATTGGGGATTGTCACGGGGGGGGGGGGGGCATGTTCTCAGCAGTTTCAAGTGCCACTCTCTGGGGCTTGCTGCTTTTAGGAATCGGTCAGTCATGGGCTCAGCAGAGGAAGAGGAATGTGCTTCTTATCATTGGTGAGCAACTAATTATTGGTGTTCTCCCTCCTTCCCCACCTGACTGAGTGCATTTCACTCATTCTGGCAGCACAGGAATAGGCCATTCGGCCCCTCGCCCGTCGTGCCATGCTGTTCCACTCAAGCCTCCTCCTCCTTCCCCCCGCCCCTTTCCCTCTAGCCCTGGCACCAGCTCTTTCTGTTTTCTTAGAATCCCTACAGCATAGGAGCAGGCCATTCGGCCCATCAAGTCCACACTGCTCCCCCAAAGAGCTTCCCACCTCACTGTCCAATCCCTGCATTTCCCATGGCTAATCCACCCAACCTACACATCCCTGGACACTACAGACAATTTAGCATGGCCAATCCACCTAACCTGTACCTGTATGTCTTTGGACTGTGGGAGGAAACTGGAGCACCAAGAGGAACCATGCAGACATGGGGAGAATATGTATACTCAACACAGACAGTTGCCCAAGGGTGGAATCGAACTGGGGTCCCTGGTGTTGTGAGGCAACAGTGTTAACCACTGAGCCATCGTGCAGCCTCCTCTAAGTACACCTACACCTTGGATCACAAGGACTCCCCCTTCAGGGCAAAGATCAGGACAGACACCCTGCTGCGGTACTGAGGGAGTGCAACACTGCTGGGAGTCATCTTCTCTTTTGCCAGGCATTAAACTGAGATCTGCCCTCTGGGGGCAAAGGAGGAGGAATGTACAAGATCTCTCAGCCCTCGACAAAGTACAGTCAGGTGTTATCCTCAGGGTCCGTGTCAATATTTATCCCCCAATCAACATCACAAAAACAGGTGATCCAGTCATTACCAGGTTTGTGGGATCTTGTTGTGTACAGATTGGCTGCTGCATTTCTTGTGTTACAACAGTGATTACCCTTCAAAAAGGTGTTTCAGTGACTGGAAAGCACACTGTGATGTGCAATGGTCATGTAAAGTTCTAGTCATTCATGACTGTTGTGGTGATATCCCTACCTCTGAGCCAGGAGGCTTGGATTCAAGTCCCACTTGCTGCACAGTTGTGTAATATCACCTGAACGGAGTAATTAGAAAATATCTCCAAAGTTCTATTTAGATCCAAGTCTATATTTCTTTCAATCGCTGTCACTCGGTGTGCGTTTCATCTTGTCCAAACTCTGTTTTCTGCTGAATTCTGGGTTGAATATATTAATGATTGTCTAACATAGCTAGCTCAGGTTTTGCCTATGAGTAGAATCATCTTCTCTACGCCTATGTTAATGTAAGTACAGGTCCACAAACATTGGGGCTGGGGTTTGTAAAAGCCACAAACCTCGACTCTCATTCTAGGCAGGGAATAGAGTCATCTAGCACAGAAACTTCGCCCTTCAGCCCAACTCATCCACACCAGCCAGAGATAGAGTCATACGGCATGGAATCAAGCCCTTTGGCCCAGCTCGTCCATGCTGACCAAGTTTCCCAAACTGACCTAGTTCCACTTGCCTGCATTTGGCCACATCCCTATAAACCTTGAACAAACACAAAGTTGCTGGAGAAGCTCAGCGGGTCTGGCAGCATCTGTGAAAGAAAAAAACAGAGTTAACGTTTCGGGTCTGGTGACCCTTCCTCAGAACACTATAAACTATAAACCTTCCCTATTCATGTACCTGTCCAAATGTCTTTTAATTGTCGTAACTGAACTTGCATCTATCACTTCCTCTGGGCAGTTCATTCCACATACAAACCACCTGTGTGGAAAAGTTGTCCCTCAGGTCCCTTTTAAATCTTTTTCCTCTCACCTTAAAAATATGTCCCTAGTTTTGCATTCCCCCACCCTATGGAAAAGACCTTTGCTATCCATGCCCCTCATGAATTTATAAATGTCTACAAGATCATCCCTCAATCTATGCTCCAGTGAGAAAAGCCTCAGCCTATCCAACCTCTCCTTATAGCTCAAATTCTCCAGTCCTGGCAACATCCTGGTAAATCTTTTCTCAACCCTCTCTCAAGTAATAAATCCTTCCTATAGCAGGGTGACCGGAACCACAGTATTCCAAAAGTGGCCTCACCAACATATTGTACAACTTCAACATGACGTCCCAACTCCTATACTCAATGCTCTGACCGATGAAGGCAAGCATGCTAAATGCCTTCTTTACCACCCTGTCTACCTGTGACGCAACTTTCAAAGGATTATGTACCTGAACCCCTAGGTCTCTGTTTGAGAACACTCCCCAGGACCCTACCATTAATTGTATATACCCTGCCCTGGTTTGTCATACCCAAAATGCAATACCTCACATTTATCTGAATTAAATTCCATCTGTCACTCCTCAGCCCACTGATTGTATTCTGAAATAATCTTCTTCACTGTCCATTTTACCACCAGTTTTGGTGTCACCTGCAAACTTACTAACTATGGCTCCTATTTTCTCATCTAAGTCGTTTAGATATATGACAAACGACAGTGCACCCAGCATCGATCCCTGCAGGACGCTGCTGGTCACAGGCCTCCAGTCCAAAAAAAATCCCTCCTCCACCACCACCCTCTGTCTCCTTGTGGATAATATTTGACTTTGGCACCCCCTCTCGGTGTGACACCCACTCCCTGCCTGGTGCGGGCACTCCCCTGACTCTGGCACTCCCCCCTCAGTGTGTCAGCCCCACCTGGAGCTGCATTCTGAGTGCTCGGTACACTGCCCTTATTGGTGATCGATGCAGGATGACAGAATCACGGAATTGTTACAATGCAGAAGGAGGCCATTCAGCCCACCGTTTCGCACTGGCTCGTGAGCATCGTAACTCCTTGGAATTCTCCTGCCTTTTCCCTGAAACCCTGTACATTGTTTCTATTTAAATAATAATCCAGTGCCCTCCTGAATACCTGAACTGGAACTCCCTCCACCACACTTCCAGGCAGCGCATTCCATACTAACTATTCCTTCAGTGAAACATCTGTTTCCCACCTCACATTTGCTCCTTCTGTAAAACATTTTAAAGCTGTGCCGTCTGGTTCTCGATCTGTTTACAAACAGGGACAGTCTTTCCTTCTTCACTCTGTCCTCACCTCCCATGATCTTAAGAACATCTATCAGATCTCCTGTTAGCCTTTTACTCTCCAGTTCCAACTCCTCTGATCTGCCCTCAAAACAGAAAGTCGTTGTCCCTGGAACCATCCTTGTAAACTTCTTCTGAGCACTCTCCAATGCCTCTGAGACTGTGGTGCCCAGAAGTGTAGGCAAAACTGCATGTAGTTATTGTGTGATTGGTGAGCGTGCAGTCAATAGTGATAGTCATTGCCGATGAGAGATTTTTGATTTAATCGCTCCTGCCTGTTTGCTCTGACAGCGGATGATGCTGGCTTTGAGACTGAGGTGTATAACAATACAGCAATCCGGACCCCGAACCTCAATGAACTCGCCAAACGCAGTGTCATCTTCCGAAATGCCTTCTCGTCCGTCAGCAGCTGCTCCCCCAGCCGCTCTGCCATCTTAACCGGTCTGCCACAGGTAATTCACCAAATACGTGTTTAAGAATAACTCCCATTCCTCTGTGTTCATCACGGTCTTTACCAGATCCTGTAAAGATACCTCAAAGCCTTTGCATACGGCCCACAAGCTGGACAAGAAGTTCCTTGTAGCTCGTAGAAACAGAGAAAAAAGGAGCAAGAGTAGGCCATTCAGCCCTTCAACCCTGCTCCCCCATTCATTGTGATCATCCAACTCAGCATCCTCTTCCCAATTCTCCCCCCATATCCTTTGATCCCTCTAGCCTCAAGTTCTGGATCCAACTCCTTAAAATCATACAATCTTTAGTGAGCATTGTCTGAAGTCCCTCAACACCAGGTTATAGTCCAACAGGTTTATTTGAAATCACAAGCTTTCTAAGCACTGCCCCTTTGTCAGGTGAAACGCTCCGAAAGCTTGTGATTTCAAATAAACCTGGTGTCATGTCACTTCTGACTTTGTCCACCCCACTCCAACACCGGCACCTTCACCTCATCAGTGAGCATCAAGCAGCTCCCAGTAATATGGGAACAGGAATAGGTCATTCAGCCCCTTGAGCATGTTCCACCATTCGATGAGATTACGGCTGATCTGTGGCCTCACTGCATATCCCTGGCTTTGGCCCATATCCCTTAATGCCTTCTGCTTAACAAAAAATCTATCTATGTTGGATTTAAAATTAACAACTGATATGCTGTTTGTGGAAGAGAGTTCCAAACATCTCCCACCCTTTGTGTGTAGAATTGCTTCCTAACATCTCTCCTGGATGGTCTGGCTCTAATTCTCAGACTATGCTCCCTAGTTCTAGAATCCCCAACAAGTAGAAATAGTTTATCTTTATCCAACCCGTCTTTTCCCATTTATACCTTGAAGACTTCAATCAGATCACTCGTAAGCCTTCTATATTCTCGAGAAAAAAAGGCCTAATGTGTATAATCTCTCCTCACAACCCCTGAAGTCCAGGTATCATTCTTGTAAACCTACGTTCTATTCCGTCCAAGGCCAATATATCCTTCCTAAGGTGTGGTGCCCAGATTTGCTCACAGATAAGTGAGGCGGCATGGTGGCTCAGTGGTTAGCACTGCTGCCTCACAGCGCCAGGGACCTGGGTTTGATTCCACCCTCAGGCCACTGTCTGTGTGGAGTTTGCACATTCTCCCCATGTCTGGGTGCTCCAGTTTCCTCCCACATTCCAAAGATGTGCAGGCTATATGGATTGGCCATGCTAAATTGCCCGTAGTCTTCAGGGATGTGTAGGTTAGGTGGGTGGGTCTGGGTGGGATGCTCTGAGGGTCAGTGTGGGCTTGTTGGGCCGAATGGCCTGTTTCCACACTGTAGGGATTCTATGATCTAACTCCAAATGGGGTCTAACCAGGGTTTTGTAGAGCTGCAGCATAGCTTCTCCATTCATATACTCCTGTATAAAGGCCAGCGTTCCATTAGCTTTCTTGATTATTTTTTGCACCTATTTGTGGTAAGTTAAAGATCTTTACATCTGAACCCCACCCTTGCCCCCAGTCTGGTTAGACATCTTTCTAACACCTTAAGTGCCGGGAAAGATTTGGAACTGTCGGACTCTGAGGCTGGGAGTCACATGGAGCTTTCAAGAATTAGAATGACAGCGGACAATGGAGTTGAGGTGTAAACCAGCCAGGATCTTGGGTAAAGAGCCAGCAGTACTGAGGGGCAGAACGACCTCTCCCTTCCTGTTCTGTTTAATCACAGGCTTGGGATCAGGGAGAAGCTGGGATAGTTGCTCTGACCCTGTTGGGGACGAGGGATGGTTGGGAATAATCAGGGGCATCCACCCCCCCCCAACCCCCACCCCCCACCCCCCACCCCCCACCCCATCATACAAGGGCACTGTCAGTGTTCCTGCAGCCCGGGACATTCCCTAAGGAAGGGAGGTGGTGCCGAGTCTCATCCCTCAGGAGACGGTCATCCTGCACTGTGTCAGTCGAGGTATCGTTTTCCTGGCAGCAGCTGGGGCTCCGAATGGGAAAGTTGTTCAGGAGCTAATGGTGAACTGATTGTTCAGTTCTCCTGCTCTGTGAACAATCAGGTGGCCATATAGTGGGTGAGTGATTTTTTAATTCATTCACAAGATGAGGCAACATTTATTGTCCATCCCTAATTGCCCAGAGGGCAGTTCAGAGTCAACCACATTGCTGTGGGTCTGGAGTCACATGTAGGCCAGACCAGGTAAGGATGGCAGTTTCCTTCCCTAAAGGACTTTAGTGAACCTGATAGGCTTTTCCCCCCAACAATCAACAACGATTGATTTGTTGCAGATAGCAACAACACCATCTGCCATGGCGGGATTTGAACCCTGGTCCCTAGAACGTTATCTGGGTCTCTGGATTAACACTCCAGTGATAATACCACCATGCCATCGCCTCCCCTGTGCACCAGCTCTCACCGCTGCCCAAGTTTAAAATCACCGCCATCCACTAGCCCTGCTGGAAGTTTATATAGGATGACACTGCATATATTTTACATGTAGATGTATAAAATATATATAGTACAGATGTACAATGTAGAAATAGACCATTCGGCCCATCTGTCCATGCCTGTATATATGCCTCTGATCAAATCTTTCTCAAATCTACCATAATGACCCCGTATTCCCCTCTCCCTGAGCTGCTGGTCTAGCTTCCCTTTGACTGTTTACACTTAACTGTGCGGCCACCATGGCTAAAGTCCAACCATAAGGCTGACTTCAAACACACACACACATGTACGTACTGTTATATGCGCATAGACATGCACATACACATGGACATATGCACGTACATGAGCATATACACACAGACATGTAGTTATGAACATATGCTCATACAGACACACAGATATGTACATATGGACATACATGCACGCATGGGCATACACAGACATACACGCACATGGACATACGAGTGCATTTGTACACATGCAAATGTGTATGTGTATGCATGCATA